CTCCTCGAATAATAGCCTCTATTTTGAATCTTAACCTCTTAAGATTTCAATTTAAAACAGATATGTGTTTGTAAGTTTTCTAAGTTAACTTTGAGTAAATGTGTTTAGACTGAGCCTGTGACGGACTGCTCCTCCCGAGGTCTCGTCTACCATGTGATGTTTACCAGAAATAAAACAATCAATGATACGTTCTGGAGATACTGTCAGAAAATAACTAGTTGTCGACTAAATTGTGTTTTTCAACAGGCAATACAGATTTTTTTTTTGAAAATCTGGATATTGCAACAATGAATATAATTTCTCCTAGTTATGCCTAAATACCATTTCATCTATTTTTGAGTCATTGTGATTCTGATTTGAACGTGAATTGTTCAACTGAATCAGTTCTTTTGTGTTCAAACTGGTTCATAACCGGAGTGTGTTTCCCAAAAGCATCGTTAGCCAACTATGGCTGCTAGTTTCCAACAGTTCAATGTTTCGGAGTTTCCTGAAACCATACTGTAGTTCCAACGAATATTCGCAAACAGCAATGCAGATTTGTGTGGTTGGAACGACAGCCCTCGACCTGTGGTTCAAATAAAGCAAAACAGGGAACAAAAATTGTCAAAATAGTCCTCATGTTCGTTACGGCGGTATTTCTGAGAAAGTGGAGTAAACTGCTGACTGAATGAACCGCATGCATATCCTAGAGGAATAAAGTGTACACCAATTACATACTGCATGTAAACTTGATTTAAAAATGAATGCCTTTCAGTTGTTTTTGTGTAAATTAACTATAAAAAGTTGCGATCTTGAATCGATTATTTAGCAGAAGTTATTACTTGCGCATGACGTCATTAACAACAGTCCAATATTGTTGAACCAACATGGTTCAAATGACAGAGGTGCGAACATGTTACTACTGTTTTAGGAAACAGCTAGTTGAAACTAGCTAGTTAATTTCTCCAACAATGCATCATACTTCGTTAGTCAATCAGTGAATTCCATTGTTTTATGGGAAACACACCCCTGAATAGTTAATTTGGTCTTGTCTGAATCAAATGAGAATCAATTTTTCAGTAATCACAAATTACTTGGAAATGTTATGGAAAAGTGATAGAAATTCATTGACAAAATGAAATTTCTAGAAAGCAGGGCTTAGGCAATGCTGATATTAATACCTATAATCCAATGTAATGACAAATTAAAAAATGTTATATTGTAAATTTCTGAAATTTACTCCACTCAAAAATAAAAAGTTGACAACAGAAACAGCTTATTATCCTTCAAGTTAACTTTTCTGTTGATCGGCTGAGCGGTTATAGTTACCGACTTGTGTCAAATATCTCAAAATGGTCAAATATTGGCCTATATATCGGTCTATAACTATCCTAAAGCTGACGTCACACTGCTGTCAGACATGTCGACACTGACTCTTGACGAATCTCTGCAAACTCACATTTACCAACACATATCAATTGTAAACCCATATAGAGCTCAATAAGAAAATATGTCTGTCTGTACTATATGTATGACGTTTGGATTTTCATAATTAGATGTGTGGAAGCAGTAATAAAACACAATCATTTCTTTTGAGATGTAACTGCTTATAGAGTATACCTAAATGTTGTTTTAAGAGCATTGTTTTATTTTGAGTTATTGTTTTGTTCGAAGCTTGTGCAAATGTTGCATCGGTAGAACATTGTTGTGTGATATTCGACCCGATCTCATGAGAACTCTTTTACAAGCTGCCGATTTACTATGAAGTTGCACAATGTGATTCGTATGTCGCAAACGTGCAATTTTTAGAAAACAAAAATGTAGGCGTGCAGGTCTACCCTAAACCTAAGCATCAGTGGGACGTCAGCAAATTATACAAAATCGTAGCATTGAGATTGTACAAATTCATACGAATTAGCCAACATTTCGCCAAAACGTAACATTATGAAATGTCATGAGATTGAGTTGGTGATATTATGTTTATGTGAAGGTTTTATATGTGATCGACCCTTAATTTCTCTTCGCTTTTCCCTCTTCCTCCCTTTTGCTTGTTTTAATGTGGCTGACCTATGCAATCTGACTGTAGTGCTCATGTTACACTTAGATATGCACCTAGCGGTGTGGCTAAGTAGTCTGACGTCTATCTTGTGTTGTAGTGTGTATTAGAGCGCATGTCAGGAGAAAATAATGACGACAACAAAAAAAAGTCTTATCTATACTGGAATGCCATGGTGTTATCCTTTTTTCCTTCTGTTGCCCTATCCTTTATGCAACAATAAATAAATTCTGAAAAGAAGGATGTTAAATAAAAGCGTCAATGGGAACAGATAGTTGTGTCCTAGTCTGTGTTCATGGATATCAGACATGCCACATTCAAATGCTGTGACTAAACGTCATATTGCATTGTTTTTTTTGCTTTCACACACCTTTAGAGAAGATATTTGCTTAACCTTTTCTTTTCTTGGCCAAATCTAAATGTTATGTCACATGATATGTGACTAAACACTACTTGGGTCACACTGAAAACCCTAATAAGTTGACAACTCAAATTATGACTATATCATCAACAATAAGTAACCAATATCATCTGATCAGATGTTTTCTTGCATGTATTGCTTTAAGGAGTGTGTTTTAGAAAGACAAAGTTAAAGCAGCCAGAGAAAAGCTAATGTTTAAGAAATCAAGGCCCAACTAAAGCAAACACTGATCTCTATCACGGTGACATCAACCTTTACTAAACTTTTACTTTTCAGTAAACCATTAACATCTTAACCTCTGTTAAGTCTCAACATGAACTTTTGTATGAAATAAAGTCAAACTGGTAAGTGCAGATGCCGAGATCTTGAGAGACAGACAAAATGAAGAGAGACCTGCCTTTTGTAATTATCTACCAATCAGTGCATCAGTTCTCTTGTTGCCAGGTAGAACTGCTCGCATGGCCAGTCACATTAAATAAAGACCAGAGTGAGCTGTTTTAATGAATTAGGATTTTGAGTTGACAACACTTGAAATCTTAAGTTTACTTTTTTTGTAGGTAAACAAGTTACACAAACTTAGGTTTTTGATTTATGGGCCCGAAACATAATGTCTAGTCAAGATTACTTCAATATTTAAGTAAAGACAACATTTGGGTGTACAGTGCAGTCCTGTTGTGCAAATGTAAACTTTCTAACTTTAAGGATGAATATGCCCATGTTGTGATTAAAATGAACTTTTATAGTAACACGCACTGTCCTTATTAATTATTATAACTTTCTGTTCAATGAGGGATTGACAGTTAGCTTACATGAGCATGCCAGTTAAATGTTAATTTTGATATTTTTCATTTTTGAAACATTGCTTTTATTAAAATATGAGGCTACTGAATTTTAAATTCCCTACAAATGAAAATCCTGTCATCATTTACTCCCCCTCATGCCATTCCAAACATGTATGGCTTTATTTCTATGAAAAACAAGATATTTTGAAGAATGTTTGGTGACCCTTGACTTCCATTGTATGGACACAAATAACACTGAGACTTTTCTCAGAATGTCTTTTCATGTTCCACAGAAGAAAGTGAGTGATGCACATGAGGGTGAATAAATGATGAAAGAAATTTCATTTTTCCCTTTAAGGCCACATCTTAAGAGTTTTGCGCTGCATCGTATGTTCACACTTTTCGAATCGATTCAATATCTGCACAGGTGTTTAAGCTTTAGGTTTAGTGGCATTTCTCATATAGGGTTAGGTTAGGTTAGGTTAGGGTTATGCTATACTTTGCATCCTGCCTCATGACTGCTATTGTGTAAATATTTGCAAACAAAAGCACATTTTACACAGATAATCTAATCTCACATTTTACACAGATTAGCACTGATGTTTTAACTAAATCTTAGTGCTCTGCTGTATTAATCCTGAATTTAATGCCAACCATTTCCTTCATCATGAAGGTAAGACTTACATCACGTCTCTGCTCTGATCTGATCTCAGTTCAGTCTGTGTTTTCTGTAACCTCCTTGTTTCCATGGCTCTCCATGCTTATTAAGGTCATTTGTCTATTGCTAGATACATCAAAAACTAAATGGAAGTATATACAGTATATATATATATATATATATATATATATATATGAACATTAGGCTTCTGACATTTCTCAGAAATGTGTTTGGTTTATTGAAAGGCTAATAGTGACAGTTTGTGGAAACAAGGTTTGTGTTTGTCAGTGGTAACTGTCAAGACATTGACTGTTTGTGGTATTAGTGCTGTGTTTCTGTGGATTATACTGTAGAATGTGCTTTATTTGTGCTGTATTGCTTTATTGTGTAGTCATCTTGTGTAATGGAGTGTGATAGAGGGCTCCTAATCATTTGTCTTTTCCCCATTTTATTCACTTGTTTACAATCCTGTCATTTACTCACTCTTATATTGTTCCAAACCTGTATGACTTTCTATGGAATGTTCTGAGAAATGTTTTTTTTTTCATTCAGTGGAAGTCAGTTGTCACAAACTCTATAGTTACTAAGTTTCTTCAAAATGTCTTTTGTCTTCCACCAAAGAAAGTCATACAGGTTTGAAACGACATGAAGGTTAGTAGATGATGATGGACTCATTTTTGGGTGTACTATCCTTTTTAAATCATCTTGAACATACAGATCCTCATTTTAAGGGCTAGTTCACCCAAAAAATTAAGGTTACACTTTATTTCGATAGTCAACTTTAGACATTAAACTAACTTTAAAGGGTTAGTTCACCCAAAAATGAAAATTCTGTCATTAATTACTCACCCTCATGTCGTTCTAAACCCGTAAGACCTCCGTTCATCTTCGGAACACAAATTAAGATATTTTTGATGAATTCTGAGAGCTCTCTGTCCCTCCCATAGACAGCAATGTAATTACCACGATCAAGGTCCAGAAACGTAGCGAGGAGATTGGTAAAATAATCCATGTGACATCAGGGGTTCAACCGTAATTATACGAAGCTACGAGAATACTTTTTGTATGCAAAGAAAACAAAAATAACGACTTTATTCAACAATTCGTCTCCTCCGCGTCACCGTAGCGCCATTTTGGAGAATATCAGCTGGATGTAAACAGCGTATGCTATTCTGTGTCAGCTGCGTCACATGGATACGTCTTCTACGTTGTTTACGCTTTGATTTGAACGAAAACAATGTATCCGCGTGACGCAGCTGTATCCATGTTGGATGTCCAGATTTTCAGGGAATAATGACTTAAATTTGGCTTAAACAGTCAAACAGCGTCCACAGCGACTGTATAGCTTCAGTAAACCTTCTTCCCTCTTGAAGCTTAAATGCTCCAGTTTGCATTTATAATAATTTTTACAGAAAAAAAAAACATACTCAAATTCAATTCATAATGAATTCATAATGCCTCCTTTTGTGTTCAGTAGGACTAAGAAAGTCATACGGGTTTGGAACGACGTGAGGATAAATGACAGAATATTGATTTGTGGGTGAACCGTCCTGTAGAGGAGGCACAGTAATGTTGCAACAACTGTCCGGATACAGGCTGCACCTATAGATGATTCCAGCTATTCCAACCTTTTGTTTTATTCATTCCGTGTATTTATAGAAGGTCCCAATTTTTAAGTTTTGAAAACTTTTTGGTCATAATCATTGATTGTTCAAAATGATCCTCCTGCTATACTGTAGCGTATTGGTGAAAATGTCACTAACTATCAATTTCCTTTCTACGGTTTTCTGTTTTGCAGAAGCCAGAGGCAAGAGTGATGGATATGGATCGCTTTTGGAGGGAGGTGACCTCGAGAACCCTGTGGAGGAGGGCTGTCTTCATTCCAGCGATGAAGACGATGGAGAACAAGAAGGGGGGAGGTCACAGGTGAGCGGCGAAGAAACGCCAAGTCTGGACTGCAGTGGCTCCAGACCGTTACTTCAAGACTCGGATGACGATGACGACCAAAGTCAAGCGTCTGCCAGAAACCACCAGATGTCTTCCCAATCCGAGGAACCAGTTGAAAACCAGTCCTCTTTGGTTTCTCAGAGCCACTCGCCACAGCTGGTGTCACAAGCCCAACATTCAGGCGCAGATCCAAGCGTCGACGTCTTCTCCAAAGCTCCGTTTCGAATCGGAGAAGACGTAGACGGCGATGGGGACGTGTTCGCCAATGCGCCGTTTCCTCGCCTTCCAGCTCAGCCTCGACAGCCTGATATTTTCCTCCAGGCGCCCTTTGGTATGAAGAAGGAAGCTTCTGGAAAGGTTTACAGCAATCCGGCGGCCCAGCCGAGATTTTCTTCCCTTGACCAGAGCATCCTCGGCCAAGTGACCCCTCTGGCCTTTCGCCCCCAGGCACTTTCTAAGTATTCCAGACACTACGAAGGACCTGTGAACACAGACCCTGAACACAGACCGAGCGCTGTGACTTCTGATGGGACTTCCTCTGACCCCTTCGTCTCGGCGCCCTTCCACCTTAAAGGCCGTCAAGATAAACGCTGAGAGAACAGCATCTGTGAAACCGCACCGTACTACTTTTGCCCCCTAAAAGATTCAAGCTTAACATAATGAAATGCTGTATACTGAGTGTAATTTATTAAAGAATGAAGCACATTTATGGCCTCTGGCTGTCTATCTCTGGGTCAGCGTTTGATTGTGTGACATCTTTTGCTACCTCAGATCATGCTTCATTTCTGTCCTGTGTTTGTACCACGTCCACAGAAAACTGATTCAGCGTGTTGGATCGTTTTCTATTATGAGCATGAGCTTCAAGAATTATTTCCACTATTATGAAATGTTTGTATTATTCTCCCATCCTTTTACTGATGGTACTTCTACTATCATGGTATACCAGGCAGTTTTGTATAGCTCAGATCTGGCAGTCACACATCTTAAATAAAAAACAAGGGAAACATTCTGTCCAACTGTTGATAATAAAATATATGTAATAAGTTTGATTTTCTCTCAAAACACACTGGGCTATGAAAATACCTTGACATTTTAAATTAATTATTTACCTTCATGAAGAAATGTCCAGGTCACATTTCACCCCAAATGTAAAAGAAAACCGGTTTTAAGCACAATGAAGATTTTTTTTTTTTAAATTGTAACTTTTTCATGACAATTTCCTTCCAAATTCTTATTACTATAATATGGAATAAAAATACAGTAATATTTTTTTTTCACTTTTATAATTTTTATATTCAAATCAGCATACATTCAGTACAAGAAAACTACTATCATGTATACTTTACAAATTTACTTTATATTTTAAAATAATACAGTTATTTTTTATACAATAATGAGATTTTGCATTCTTGTTACTGCACACATGCTAAATTTTCATTAGAAATAGTGTTAAAAATAAGTAACGAACCCGCACACTATCAAACTTGCTAATTCTTAAACTTTATCACACGCATTTATTTGTTTGAGTTATGCAAAACACTCACTGGTGTAGAATCTGTATCTAACAATAAATTAAACTTATTCAAAAGGTGTCATTGTGTTGACTTAATGCAGCAAATCAGCATATTAGAATGATTTCTGAAAGATCATGTGACCGTCAAGAAATTCCGCTTTTCATCAAATTAATAAATTGCATTTTAAACTATAGTCAAATAGAAAAAAAAAAGTTATTTTAAATTATTAATATTTCACAATGTTTACTGTATTTTTTGATGAGCATAAGAGACATCTTTCCAAAAAAAAATTTAAAGAAACTTTTTACAGGTAGTGTATATATTACATACAATTATTATTACATTGTGTAATTATAAGATAATAACTACTATAATAGTGTGTGCGGGCCTTGGAGTATTTTGATGATAAATACGCTTATAAAATACAATGACATTTGCTCTGTCCAGTTCTGTGTTTGTAAAGGGATGGGTAGAAGAAATTAACCAAAGAAAATAAATAAACCCTGCCATCTGGCGGTCTAAATGGGCGGAAGAATAGCTAATACGCGTTTCTTATGAGTGGTTCTTCCTGCAGGGGGCGCTGGCTTGTCTTTCCCTATCAGCGCTGAGAAAAGTAAATGCTCCACGTCACATCACCTATATTTTGATTAGTAAATAATGATAAAAATGATTAACACATACCTGACCACTTAAAAACGACGTCTAGACCCCATCCTCAGCTTTTATGGTACTAGCAACCACGAGCCCACGTGGTCAGAAGAACTGTACACTGTCCAGTTTATATTTCTGAAAACTGTACATACATGCAATTATATATTGAAATATTACGAGCCGGGAGTCACCATGATGGCACTGTTTATGATCAATAGGTATGTATTCATTGCATTGAAAGTACACTCTAAAAAATGCTGGGTTGTTTCACCCCAACTTTGGGTCAAATATGGACTAACCCAACTTTTGGGTTAAAAAT